TACACTGAGTTACACTGAGCTACACTGAGCTACACTGAGTTACACTGAGCTACACTGAGCTACACTGAGTTACACTGAGCTACACTGAGTTACACTGAGTTACACTGAGTTACATAGGGGAACAAGCCTCTGGCTCAGAAGGTCTACAGGGATTTCAGCAGCTCCTATCAAGGACGCGACTAAAGAGCAAATTTCCAAAATTCACTCCGACCAGTTCTTGTTGTTTTGACAGGTGACCCCCGATTTCTGTGGACTTTTCTGCACAATTTTGGCAATTAAACAAAGTTCGTCATTGTATTATATGAGGACTGAGTCAGTGTCAGTTCCCAACACTGTAACAGATGAGGAAACCTGACTTTAGATCACTGGCAGTCTCACCTCAAAAACAAAAAAAAAAAAAGGTTTGGAAATTTACTTGATTACACTCTCTAGTGTTAAACTCCTTATAACTGCACTTGATTACACTCTCTAGTGTTAAACTCCTTATAACTGCACTTGATTACACTCTCTAGTGTTAAACTCCTTATAACTGCACATGCTTCTTTCAGAGCCCAACTGGATAAGATGCTGCTAACTGAGCCAGGAGTGTGGAGCAAACGCTTTGCAGGATGCTGTGGATCACCATCAGGCGTGGTCAGGGACGCCCGCAGTACCTGCGACTGGCGCACGAAGATACCGCAGTTCTCATCGCAGGTGAAGTAGCGCTTGCCCTGCACGGTGCCGTCGTTCTTGCCCTTGGGCTCGTCCAGGACGACGCCCACCCACTTGCCGGTGGCGAAGAGCGTGGCGCCCACGTAGGCCACAGTGCCGCGGTGGCCCTTGCCGATCACCTCCACCGCGGAGCCCACCTTGACGGGCTTGCCCCCGCCGCCGTCCGCGCTCATCTTGCTCAGGGGGCTGCTCGTCGGCTTTGAGAGAGGGGGGAGGTGCCTGGTTAATACGCCCCCACAGCACACTGAGAACAGCCCCCCGCCTTCAGATCAGGTGCTAGGGAGCCATTTCTGAGAACAGCGTCATCACCCAGGAAGGGAGGAGAATGTGTCACTCACTCATGATTTTACATGATTTATAAAACCCATTTTCGTAACAAGAATTTTAAAAATATATTTAAATGTAAATACTTTACATATCTTCTGTTAACGTTTTGTAATCTTTACTTTTTATGTACTTTACCCCACGAATGTGAAAATTTGCATATAATACCTGGGTCCATCATTAGAAATGCAAAATTACCGGCACTGAAGATTCCATGGTCACAGTCACACCCAGCACCTGAGTGAGGCTGGTTACCAAGACAGAGATGTGTGATGTACTCAAGGATTTTATTTTTAAAACCAAAAATTACTTTTAATATTAAAGATATAGTATACTCATATAAACATAGTATGCATTTAACATCATATTCATAGATGACTTCATATGATCCAAATCATTTTCATTGTTGTTTATATACTTCTGGATTCTGCAACCTCCAAAAACATTCTCATTTAATTGTTCACGGCCAACTTGCGGATAACCAAAACTGCGGATATCAAATTCACAAATCTGGAGGGACAACTGTATAAATGTCTAGGACTGATATTGTTAACATTATTTTGGTAACACTTCACTTAAAGCTGTAATTTATAGTGCATTACAGATACCTTTACAATGCATTATAATGGTTGGTATAAGAATTAATAAAGCATTACAGCATCATCTATTGACAGTCATAAGGCATTATAGTGCTACTCAAAATATTTCATAAGCTCCAATGAAGCTCTCATCCATAATGCACTACAAATATCTTCATACTGCATTATAATGGTCAGTATAAGCATAAGGGATGCTTTGTACTGCATTATGAAGGTGTCTATAGTGCATTATAAATGAGAGATTCATAGAGCGTTCATAATGCATAATAAACATGACTATAATGTCCTATGCCTTCTTATAAATATTTATAGCCATGTTTATAATGCTTCATGAACGTATTCATAGGTTTTTAAAGACATGGAATTCACTGAAAGTGCTACCATAATTTTTTATTCTGTTGCCCTTCTACCTTGTTTATTGCACAGTGTGGAGTCGCAGAAATTTCATTTCACTGCTGCTGCACCAGCACATTCATGCATGTGACGAATAAAAACCTTCAATCATGAAAAAGTCATTTTATGGGGACGGGAAGCATAACCTAAGCAGCGTAATTCCCTGCAGAATAATAGCTGGCAATGTCATTTAATACTCCAAAAGCTAAGTTCCTAATCCCACATGCTGTGACACAAACTGCTAACAGCGGAAAGCATTTGACGTAAAGGGTCATTCACTCGGCCGACATTTGGAACGCGGAGACGAAAACGGCTCTAGATCTGGAACAATGCAGACTGCAGAGCCACTGTATGAGGCCCAGAAACTTCAAGGAGGATTGTACGGCCTCCAGGGACAGCTGGCAGCTTGGGTTCGGCTGAGAAAGGCCATGTGACGGGACTCACAATGAAAGGCTTGTCACGCCCCTCGCTGGGACAGACACCAGACACCGTGGGCACCTCCACTGTTGATATGTCAGCTTGGAAACACTGGACTGAAACCAGGGATTACTGAGAAGACATTTCTGCAACTGGACTTTCAGAGGCACAATCCAAACCCCTTCCTAAACCAATGCTCTGGCAACCAAATGGATGGCTTACAGAAGTATTTAAGCTGGGTTTCTGAAGCACACAAAGAAATAAAGCACAAGAAACACAAAACCTGCTATGGATGGCATATAAACAGGAAGATGACTTCTGTGCCTGACCTGCAAAAAATGCTTTAACACAGAAAGAACAGAGCAGAAGGCGCAGCTAAGGAACTGCAACACCCAGGCTGGGATAACTTTCAGCTATGTTAAAGAAACACAAACCCCTAGCAAGATAAGGCATTTAAACAACTGACAATCAAGCGGATACATTTTGAGGTTTAGTATTGGCTTTAGTCCCAAGGGACGGAACATTCCTCCCAAAGTAATTTAGGTTCAGTATCTGGAAAAAGGCTAGATCACTGAGCCCATTCCTAGGATTAAAGCCGGAACTTTCTAATTGTGAGCTCCTACACTCCATGATACTCGATCAATTTTAGAGCAGTGGTGGCTAAACATGTTTAAGTACACCACATAGATATAAACCTGCAGGTAATGAGGGAATTAAAATACAACGCTGATTATCTAGCGTGTCAGTGAACTATGAACTGTAACCAAAACAGCCAGCATCACTGTTTACCCTGACTATCTCCTTCCTCAGCAGTTCGGCTTGTTCTGAGACTGACCCAAGTGTCAGCTCCACTTTAAAATCATCAGGGTACTTACCCTGGGGGTGTACGAATTTCTCCTGGATGTGGACATGGTGCCCCTGCATATAATTGACTGTCCACACACAATAATTGCCTTCCTCTGATTCAACAACCTTTAATATGGAAGGGGGGGGGGGGTGATGCATGTGACCAGAAGGGGGTGTGTCACCAGCAGGGAGGGAGGCAGTCTAAGCTGTCTGCACCAATCCCAGTCACATGATCAGCATCAACATTAATCAGTTGGCTGTGTAATTTAAAAGAGTAGAGAAGTCCTACTGCCCTACCGGATCGGAGCCAAGACTGATGCAAGAACTCTGAAGACTCCATTCCTCACTTTCACACTGACGACGTACCCTCTGGCTGTGTGGTTTTAGTTACTGTTTTTTTCTGGAAGTTTCCGGTGACTTGTGGCCCATAGAAATGCCAGAATTGTTTGCCCGGATACTGACTGCCAACAAGAAGCCTGAAAGTAGCAGGGTGTCTGTCTGGGGTTTATCCCCACTGACAAGGCAGGGAGGCAGGACTAACAGTGAGCATGTGGGTCTATCCATGAACAAACAGCTTGTTGACTGTGCAAAAAGAAGCCGTTTGAGAGGTCCAAGTTTAACTAAGGCGCCACCGTTTAGCCTGACAAGTCACTCTCTCACAGAGGAACAAAAATATCACAAACATAAGGGAAGCTGGCTTTTCGGAGGACCTACTGAATGGTGGAATAATTACGTGCTTTAAAGAGTGTTTTTTAAGGGGGGAAAAAAGTCTCCACCAGGTACACAATAGAGGCTGTAATCTAGAAGTTTCTTAAGAAGGCGTCTATTCATATATCTGGACACCAGTCAAACAGAACGGGGCGTTAAGTCACAGGACGCCATAACGCCTAAACGGTTGTAATTAAAAGCTTAGGTCACCCCACGGCTGCTATAATCATGGGTTAGTCAGTGGACATTCAGCATTATGTGATGTATATGAAAGGGAAATGGTTTAACTTAAACAGGAAGGATCACTGCTTTAGCGGTTGCGGAATCACCATCAGCCGGGGGGATCGCCCCTGCCCTGGCCGGGAAAAAGTCACCCTGATCCCTTATATATAGAAATAACCTTACTTCGTTTGCCTGACAGTTGGTTATAGCTAGTTATATGCGAACTGTCCTGATAACGTGTAGCAGAACCAGCCGAGTACAACAAACAATTTTCTTCCTCAAAGTGACCAGCGGTCTCATGTCCTCTTTAATCGCTGTAATTCAGGCGAACAGCTATAAATATAAAGTGTGGCGGTCACTATGGGACATGACCGGTCTCCCCAACTCAGGCCTCCGCAACAACACAGCCCAGCCGCTTTCCTGCCGACCGGGGCGTCCACCTTTCCTCTGTCAGGTTTTATACGTTTAATTTCTACTAGACGCGGCAGACAGTCACATTCACTTCATGCATATTTTTGGGGGGAAAGAATGGGATGAGGGGTTTTCTGCTTACCAAACACAGAAAGACTCAACTTCCAGTTCGTTTGCCTTGGCAGTTTGAAGCCGGACTTCAGGCAGTCACGTGGACTTTCTATTTCCGGCCAAATATTTCAAAATAAAAGCGTGTCTTTCCTGCGCCTGTCTTTTGCTCCTTTTATAAAATTCACTATACCTTTCATAAGGATACACCGTGCCAAAGGAGTTTTTTTTTATCTCCAAAGAGGACGTGCACCGTCAGATTTTTAAATATGATTTACTTATAATATTACCTAGCCTCAATTATACTTAACATTTTAAGATAAAAGATTTATGAAGAGTTTTAATTAAATATATAGGAGTTGTAAATTTTACACGTAAACCTATGGGTATAATAATAATAATAATAATAAAAATAATTGATTGAGAAACTAGAAACGAGTCAGGTTGAACTCCAGTGATTATTCTTCGATGGATCAAGTGATTATTAAAATCGATGGATCAATTGCTCCCTCCAGTGGATATTTGTGAGAAGTGCAATCACAGATAATGACATCGATCGAGTTCTTGAACTGTGCAAAAAAAAACCTTCAGTAGCTACTCAACATCTTACGTCTCAACTTGACGAGGAAGGGAAAAAAGTTTTAACAGTAGTCACTTTCAGGCTGTTTAGTTTCTCGGATATCACGTAGAATGACGCTTTAAACCACACGAGGTCCATTTCCCGTGTCTTTCATTAGCGAATCAAGATTCTGAAACAAGAAAAATACGGCAGATCTGCTTGGAAAGAACTTCACCTTCCAAAAAAGTGAGTCAATAATGTTTAGCCAGGTGTTGAGTCTGCTTACAAAATGCAATGTTCCATCTCGCTATTTTCGTCTTTAAATCACGCCCCTTTCACACTCCTGCCTCCGGGAAAGCTACCGGTGTTCTGTCGAGTTGAGCTACTTTGTCGAGTTAGGCTACTGTAGTGCTAATCGATAGCTCAACTCGACAGAACACCGGCGCCTCACCCGTTACACGGACGGTCACCTCTCCTAAGCCACCGGGCCCCGCTGTATTCTATAATATGCTGTCAATATAACGCTTTTGCATTTTATCAGTACGGTGTACCTCTGCGGCTATTTGCAAATCCTTCCCTGATGCGCCACCTATTTAATGTTAAAATTGCACGTTTTTTGTCCTATTGTCCCATCATGCACCACCTGTTGCCTCCCCTGCAACTGTGGCACATGAATTTCCCTGTTTTCTGCGGAACATGTGGCAGTACCAAAAAACTTACTTGTAAAAAGTACTTGTAACTTGAAATTGACTTCAGTGGAATAAATCAGCATGATGTCTTCTTGCACATATCCTGACTACTCCTCTCCAACACTGTTATTCTGGTGAGGAGTCAAACAGATGATGGCTTTACAGTGCTCACAGTGTGTTTTGGGACGCTTGCCTTATTCTGCAAAAATGTTGGAAAAACGCAACAAATAAAATAGAAATGCAAATTTACTGGTTTCATAAAAGTCCTTTGACAAGCAACGTTTAATGTATCTGCACATATCTTCTGCACAGACATTCTCTTACGTGTTAGAATTTTTTTGACTCACACATTCATTTCTGTTCTTGGCATTTTGCTATTGTGGTCACTGGCTCCCAAAGGGATACTAAACACAAATCTTTGGTGTCTTATGTCATTGCAAAGGTGTTATTACTAAAAAAAACACCCAGTGAGACTGACTGCTTGTCAATGAACTTTTTAGCTGAGAATTGATCTATAATATAGGTTTCTGGCTGTTTCTAATGTTTTATATATTTTTTGTAAACAAATTATTTTTGTTATAAACCCAATAAATCTGCAATATTTTTACTTGGTTAAGCAAATGCCGCAAGACTTTCTGTGAGCACCGTATTCTCTGTAATTAATAAATAAATAAAACAAACGTGTTCAAAGTGATCTTCATCTTCATCTTCGATAGCCACTTAGCCAGTAGAGGTTCACGGTGAGCCTGACCCCAGTCAGGAAAAATGCGGTACAAGTCAGGGGACACCAGTGGATAGATGGGAGGCCAGTTTAGAGACACCAGTTTGTCTAAATGGACCGTGGAAGGAAATGTCCATCAAAAGGAAGCCCAAACAGAATCAGAGCCAGATCTGAATTCCCAATTTGAAATGCACTCATGACGCATCCATGGCATTTTACTGTTGCGAAGAGGCCTCTGCTTCCGTTCAAGGTTGCATGTGTCAATTCCTCGAGAACATGGCAAATTCCTGACATTCCTCTACGACCTGCTACTCTGCTGCCTGAGATGTTTACTTTGGCTGCCGCACCTCCGTTAATAATCCGGTACTCCGATACTCCTTTTGGCTAGTTCCGAATTATTCTGACAACGTGCACAGTCCGAGTGACTTTTAACATGAAATTATAAAACCTCAAAATATTATTTTACTGATATAAAAATTTAAGGATTTTCCTAGAAAGATGTATACTAAGATCTGAACAGGGAATGAAAATCACTTCTGAATTTAATAATTATTGGTCCGTCACTCCATTAATTTAAATTATTACTATAATAATATCATGGCTAATCGGATTTAATCTGTCCCTTTTCGGTCTATTCCCAATTACCTTCTTACTACTTGAGTAACAATGTTGAACAAGTCAATAAGCAAAATAAGTTTAACAGACTTGGTGACCTCATACTGGATAAGCAGTTGGAAAATGCAAGCCAAATATCAGCCGTATGAACCTTCACACCTCAGTTGTTGACTGAACACATGCACTGTGCATTAAGTGTGGTTTGAAATGCACCCAGCCTTAACAGTTAACCCCTCAGAAGACCACTGTACAACTTACAATGAAATATATTCAAACGATCTCAATGAGATCAATTTCACAATGTTCTCAGCAAAATCTGTCATTGTTACCAACGTGAGGCATTTACCAGACACTTCACTGAACCACAGTGTTTGGTGTGAGAGCGGAATAGGTTGGGAAATCAACCTTCAGCAGCAGCAAATTTTCTTTTTCCATCGACCCCATTCAGAAGTTCGTATCTGTACTCTATAAGAGTGAAGTTCAAGAGTCTGGCCACAGTCTCTGGAATGACGACCTCGCCGATTCGGCTGTAGCCCAAACTCTCGTACAAACTCTGGGCCTCCTTCTGGACCACCGAGGTGTAGAGGAGGACGGTTCGGTAGCCCTTCTGGCGGGCAAAATCGGCTACGGTGCGGCAGAGGGCCTTGGCGATGCCCAGACCGCGGTGGCTCCTCCGCACGGCCATACGCTTCAGTTCCAGGCAACCCGCCTGGGTCCTGGCGGGCAGACAGGCCACCGTGGCCACCACGCGGCCCTCACTCTCCGCCACCCAGAAGCAGCAGTCCTCACGCTCCATGTAGGCCTCCTGGATGTGGCCGAGGTCCTTCTTCAGGCAGACCTCGATGTAGCGGCTGAAGATATAGCCCGCCAGCCATCGACCCCCGGCCAGAAGCAGCGCCAGAGCCAGAGCGGGCAGGACCGGAGACCTAGAAGCCGTCAACAGGGCACAGACGACACTAGCGAGGAGCACCTGGGCCAGGGGCTGTCTGAGCATGTGCAGGAAGCCGGACGGCACGTGCTCGCTCATGCTCGCGGTGAAGACCTCCTTCACCGCCTCCGCATCCCCGGCCCTGTACCTGCGCACCTGAAAACCCACCATGCTGGCCCCGCCCCCTGGAAGGGTCACGCCCAACTGCAGCACTCACAGCATAAGAAACAGCTTTAAAAAAAAAATAAAAAAATACACGTTTCTATATCAATATCATGGGTGTCTTCAGCAAAACTAGAATGAAGTTATGGAAAGAAGTATTAAACTAAAAACAAAATTGGCATACTAGTTATAAACTTAAAAACAAATTCAATGATTCATTGCAGCACCCAGGAGGATATTAATTTAACTGCATTTTATAACCAAAATTCTATACAACGTTTATGCTGACTACAGCGAAATCCAGTCCCTTCCTCACACAGGTATAAATCAGAGTCTCTTAAAACTCCGTGTAACTGCAGATGAGCACTCAGCCGCCGCCCTGGCATCTCTGGCCAAAAGGACAGGCACAGGGGAGTCCGTTTGGAGTAACAGCGACCAGGAGACTGCAACCCTAAAGCACAATGGAGAGGCATTATTCAGGGGCGTATGTGACAGCACCACTTAAAGGCACAGATTATGTTAATTTTGGGTGACCAGATAATCCATGTCAGGGAGACACTTTGAGCTACTTTGGGCTTTACAAACTACTTTAAAACTGAAAGGCTCCTGCGCTCGGCTAAATAGTTCAGTCATAGTTTCAATCTTGTGCTTTGACTGGTTTGTTTCCTTGATTGAAAGACACGTCCAGCTGTTTCACATTAACATTAGTGACACATGCATGATTACAGGAGACTGACCAATCAGCACACAGCAAGAACTCAGTGCTAAAGTGAAATCCAGGTCTTTTTAATTGAAATGGTAGTTCACCAATCTAAAGTGTCTTCCTTGACATGGATTATCTAGTCACTCTAGATCAGGGGTAGAGAACCTGGTCCATGAAAGGCCGGTGTGGGTATGGGATTTTGGAATGACCTCTCAATCGGCCAATAATAAGGCAGTGGTTCTCAACTCCAGTCCTGGGGACCCACTGTTATTGGCTGATAAAGAGGTCATCCCAAAAACCCGCACCGGCCCTGTGGATCAGGAGCACCAGCCCTGCTCTCGATCATGTTGACTACAGTAATACAGTATTACGGTGATTGCTGGAATATAGCAATCAATTGAGCAATATTAAAATTATTTCACGTAGCTTTTTAATATACCCTGGAATTTTTGCAAAAAAGGATTTTTTGCAGTTTATACAGTAGGTAGACATCTGTCTCACTTTATACTTTATACTTTTATTGATCCCCGTGGGGAAATTCTCTTTGCGCCTCCCCCCAACTTGCTCTCCGCAGGTGAGCGGAAGCTGGCCGCGAAGGGCAGCCACCTGTTGGGACGCCCAGGGAGCTGGGGGTTAAGAGCTTTGCTCAAGGACTCACAGCCGTGGCAAGGCTGAGCTCAAATCTGATCATAGGCATATAGGCTTAGCCCACTGAGCCACACTTGTTTTACCACCTCCATCTAGGCATGTAATTCAATGTACTATTCACACCAGCAAGACGATTTAATACGATTATTAATCATTATAATTAATGTGTGAAGTGCCTGCAGTTCCAGATACTTAGATTTTTTAAACGTAACGTGCGAATTTATCAGCAGCTTTATGTTAATGAAAGCTAAGTATAATTTATAGAAAGTCATTAAGTCAATGTCAGTAAACTAAAACACGCATCAAGATTTGGCTAACGCGATCATCAAAAAAAAAAACCATACGGTGTTTTGCACTGCGTTATACTGTCCAGAGTATATACGGTAACTGGTATACAGTACAATACGGTAACTGGTTTGCTATAACCGGAAGTCAACATTAACGCGTGATACGGACAGAACCCGCACATAGGCGATTAGCAACGATCATACAGCTAGAAATGAACAGAAGAAATAACACGATCGAATCATGCTACCGTATTACAACATGGTACCAGTTCAGCAGGTAATGGGTGCGTTATTTTTATAGCACGATTTACCTACCAAAACATGTTACCCGTCTTAACATAAGAAACAGCAAACAACTAAGTAGCAATAACCTGGCTATTATTATATTATTCCCATAATAAATGGCAAAGAACCGAAAAACGGCAATGTAGCTTCGTATAACATTGTTTAAAAAGTTGAATTAACCATAACCATAAAATCATGGTAGTTTAGGTAGCTCAAGCACAAAGAGGCCTCTATTACTAAAAGTATGGATATATCAAAAGACGTTTTAAAATTAAGTTATTCAATGAATAATAATCTGGTTTAGTACAGTGCCGTGGGAAAAAAACAGAATTAAACGTAAAGGTTTACGAAAACGTACCATACGTACTTCAGGGCGAGGTGAGATGAGTGAACGCTGCTAGACACGAAAATCAAGTTGTAGTTGGAATGTGCGCATGCGCAATACTCCTCGGTGGGATGACATTGAGCATTATGGGGTCATAGGTATGGAGTCATACGGGTGCCATTAAAAAGAGTAAATCTGAAGAAGAATAAGAAACGAAATGCTGAGGAAGCAAGTAAAATAAATAAAAAATCAAATAAATGGTTTTCCTTATTGCTTTTTCTGCATTGCTCACTTTCCGCCCGGCCGTCATAAGGTCACAACATGTAGCTCTTACGTCATAGTTGCAATTAAGACTTTCATTAATTGGCGCAGCATTCAGGAATTCCAGTTAACTATCGATGCAAGCTAAACATCCAGGTTGAACCTAGAAACACACATAAAAAAAATCTAAATATGATGCCCAGAAATGTGTTGTAATCAAAGCTTTATTTACTATCTTGTATATAAAAGTCTCTTGACTTGCAAGAACCAGTTAATGCCAGCATTTATTTCCATTTGATGCAGAAAAATACATAGAAATATGAATTGTTGAAACACATATGACTATATAATTTCATATTCCAACACTTACGAGTTCCAGACTGTAAGACTTTGATCTCTATGCTTCTAAACTGTAATGTCCTTAAGTCCCACTAAAATGACCTGTGAGAGACACTGAAATGCCACTGCACTGCTCTATTCAAAAAGGAAACGTCGAAATAAATCCACACAAGGTGTATTCCACATCCAATGACGACTCCAGGAAACTTGGTATCCGCTTAAAAATAAATTGCATTTTCCATTAATTTAATCTAAACCAATTTAATAGAAAAATACTGGATGATATTTTAAAGTTATTTCATATATATGGATGGATTCATCTTTCCAATACAGGGAGTCACCTGTGGCTTATATGCCATTAATGGGATTCTTTGTGGCTCTGACTACTAACTGTTCCTCTCTGAGGAACTGGTTGGAAGAATCTATGTCATTTCAAATAATAAAGAAAAGTCTATTTCTCCACACATCCCTTGTCATTTCTGTTGATTCCTGTGGCTTTGATGTTAGAACCCCTCTCATTTGTCCCCAAGTAATAACATCCATGTATCATTTTCCTGTTCCACTTGTGGGTTTTGGATCTATTTACATGACCCTTATACACTCAGTAGTATGCTGGCTGAAAGCCCTTATTTACAGCAATAACGTGTGTGTTCCCCCCAAAGATGCATTAGTCGGCCCTGCGTTGCCGAGCCCTGTGTTCCTGGGCCCTACGCCGGTTAATGGCCTTGGTGCTTGCACGCAGCTTGCGCAGCCGCAGTTGACGCAGACGCAGCTGCAGGTCTTTGGGGATCTTGCCGCCCCTGGCGAGGATCTCCCGCAGCCTCTGTTTGGGTGTTTTGGTGATGTGGAAGTCGCAGATGGTGGGGTAGTGTTCGTACTCCACGCGGCATAGCCGCCTGCTTGAGAAGTAGCCCTCGGCGCTCACCGTCACCTCGTATTCACCAGGGTTCAGGAGCCGCCAGTAGTCGCCATCGAAGGCTGCAAGGTGACATGTTACCGTCACTATTAGAGCCACAGCCAGTGTGACACGTCTTGTTCTCAAATAGAGTGACGCATCAAACCTGATCTGATGTGGTGATCAATGTCTTCCACCTTGATAATGGCATCTGCTATGCCCGCCTCGGTGTCCTTGTCTCGGATCACTCCCTTGATTCCCCTGTGGACCTGTGGAGAGACCAACACCAAGCCCACAATAAATCAGTACAATCAGACCACTGCTGGTATCATACGTTGAATGATATTTATATTGAAGTATCGACTGCAATTGTATAAAACCTGAGTCAAGTAAATAAACGGAAATTTAATGTCCGTGATTTTGCTCCAGGATTCCTAGTTTTCTCCCACACAGTAAACTCGAAATGCCACAATTTCCCCTCAGTTCTGGCCATTACCACAACCCTGCCCTGTCCCAGTCTGTTCCCAGTAAATGAGTAGAGCAATTCAGAGTAATCACTCTGACTACAGCTGATGGTCTCAGCTAACAGAGCATATGGGCGTAAGAAAACACTTCATTCCTCTCCTGTGCAGGACCATTGGTGCAAGATCACTGTCCATCTCTGCAGGAAGTGTGTGCAGGAGGCCAGGGAGGACCTGGACGGGGTCAGCAGGATTTAACTACTCAGGAGGCTTCAAAGCAGACCTGCTCCATGTAGACCAGCAGCGACTCCTTGTTGTTCTCCCATTCAGTTGGCAGCTCACTGGCGTGGGGGAACTTGTCACAAGACAGTTCCACGGTGACTTCAAAGCAGTTGGTATGAAGGTAGCTGAAGTCATTCATGCCTGGGGAAATGAAGAGAAAACCAGCGTGGTGGATTCATCACAAGTGAGGGAAGCTTCTCCCAACCCATTGTCTTGCACAGCAGCACACCACTGAAGTCTGTTGACCGTCAACAACACATCCTGTTGACTTTTTGTTGGCAACAGGTCTTGCTAACTTGTTGATATTTTGTTAACTTGTTGATAACACATCTTGCTAAGTCGCTGACATCTCGTTGACAACATTTTGTTGACTTGTTAACAACATGTCTTGCAGACGTGTTGACATTTTGTTGACTTGTTGACGTGTCTTGCAGACTTGTTGACATTTTGTTGACTACACGACTTGCTAACTTGTTGACATGTTGTTGATAACGTATTGTTGACATGTCTAGCTGACTTGTTGACAACATGTATTGCTGATTTAAATGCATCCCTCTCTTGGCATGACTAGGGGGGATCAAGATTCATGATATTTGTAACCTGACTCTTCTAGTTACTCAGTCTGGAGTAATGCGCTGCAATTTCTATGCATAAAGAATTACCTCACATTAGGTTATGTAGCAGATGCTTTTGCCAGAGTAACTTATGAGCGTGGATCAGTGAGGGGGACAGGCAGTGTTCAAGACCCAACAGTGAATTCTCTCAGCCACGAAAAGGGATTTGAAACTGGTGCCCCCCCCCCCCCCAACTATAAGCCTAACCTGAGGCCTGTATCACAAAAAAGGATTTCTTGCTTAGCCGGACATCTTTATGGGTTTAAGGTACCACAGTTTAAATGGACATTATCTTCCTTCACTTATCTTTAGCCCAGACTAAAATTCCGACAAGCAATCCAGCTAAGCAAGAAATCTGACTTCATGATACAGGCCCCTGCAGTTGAAGTATTTAGTGGAAGAAGAAAGAATTTAGTATAAGCAGTTTCTTTCCTGGGGGTGGCACGATGACACAGTGGTTAGCACTGTTGCCTCACACCTCTGGGACCGTGGTTCAGGTCTCCACCCTGGCTCCGTGTGTGGAGTTTGCATGTTCTCCCCATGTCGTCGTAAGGTTTACTCCAGGTACTCCAGTTCCACCCCCCCACATTCCAAAAACAAGCTAAGGAGAAGCTAAGAAATGGAATTACCAATTATGTGTGTGTGTGTGTGCGCCCTGTAATGGGTTGGTGCCCCATCCCTGTCCCCTGCCTTGTGTCCGATAGGCTCCGGACTCCTACGACCCTGAATAGGACAAGCGGTTACAGAAAATGGAAGGATGGACAGTTTCCTTCCTATGAAATCGTGATTCATAGCTCATTATGTTATGTGCTAAGTATTGTGGATATTGCTAATCTTGTTACAGTACATACTGTATACTGCAGAACTATTCAAGGATCTCACTATTTAATGCACGTCTTTCATTAGAATTAGTTTACATAGACATTTAGAGTGTGCTTGTTGTTTATTACATTCACAATTTGCAACATTATTAGTTCATACTTATGCTTCCTTATATGTTGACCTTTATTTAATGTTTATTGTCTTGTCTGTATTGTTCTTGGAACAAACATCGGGTCAAATTCCTTGTAAGTGTGACCTTGCTCGGCCAATTACTGATTGTTTTTCTTACTGATGTCCTGGAATTTAGCTTATTTGTTGGCTCTGTTGAAAAGGTGCAGGATGCAGACGTGTGTGTAAGCCCCATACGCACTGCCGGGGACAGTGTGCCAGCTGGCACCGTTGATGATGTTGTTGTTTTGCAGGAAGTCCTTGTAGTGGCAGGTCCGTCGGTCAGGGTTGGACATGACCTGGTTGGTGCTGGCGTAGACCGTGGCCAGCCAGCGGAAGAAGCTGTCGTCGGGGGTGGGAGTGTGCTCGTAGGGGGCCCAGTCCCGGGTCATGTCGAATGGGTAGGTGACCACCAGCTCTCCGCCATGCAGGTTGGCACTCAGCACAAACGGGATGGTCTGCATCCAGTTTATCACCGCGCGCGTTTCCGAGGCAACCTGAGAGGAGCAGGCTCGTGGTCAAAACGTGGTTGACCACGCTGAGGTCAAAAAGTTAACCCCCACAGGGCCCAGTGGGAAAGGTGACCTATACATGAACCCTAAACATGAAAACTATACATGAAAACTAAACTGAGTTATAGCGGTACAATGTAAAACATTTACAGTGAAAACAGGGCCTGAAGCAGCTTTCAGTATAAACATCAATTTCTGTTTACAAACATACCGGCCTAGATCTCTGAATTCCTGACGCTTACTGCTGTTAAATAACGCAACGAGGCAATCGTCTTATTCTGCAATGACGCACTTCATGGTCTTATTCTGCAATGATGCACTTCATGGTCTTATTCTGCAATGATGCACTTCATGCCACTGCGTCCCACTGTGTGTGGGACTGTCCAGCTTCTGCTTACCACTCTCAACTTATTCAAATTTTAATCATTATTAAACAGTCCAAATATTGTCTAACCTGTCCGTTTTTCTATACTTGTGCACTGATAACATCCTAACACAAATTTCCTTTATTTTTGGCTAGTTTACTGCCAGATTAAATAATCATGTTCTACTTTTATCCTTTATATATGACGCAGTTCTGCATAAAATTTGATTATCTGATTATCGACATTGTTTGAGGTAACGCCCTCTTAATGCACTTTCTATCGAATTTGGACTAAATGATAAACAGACATAAGTTTAAATGTCTTGTTCCCTTTTTCCCCAGGATCTCAGTTTTCCTGCCACCGCACCCTGAACACAGGGAGAGCCGAAGATGCCGCGCTTTCCCCTCGGTTCTGGAGAAACACCGCAGGCTGTGGTATTTCCACAGCACTGGTCCAGTCTCCATCTGTTCCCAGTTAGTAAGTAGAGCATACTGGAAAGTGCTGAGGAAGAGAACAGCCCGTAACACCCCCCCGCCCCGCACCTCAGGCGCCTGCCATGCAGCTGGAGGGGGGGGGGGCTGTTGTTGTGCTGTTAACCCTCCTGTATCATCACTGCAGGAACAATCCAGACATCTGGTCCCTTCCCCAAACACCCCCCCTCCCCACTGTAAAGTTTTGTCCTTCATGCTCCACTCACAGCCGGGTAAACAGGCCCTTTCGCAAACCAAGGGGCAGTTTCCCACCGCAGATTCCAGGGATATGAAACGGAATGAATATGGATGGACAACGTGCCGGCGAGATCGGGGATCTGCTCCGTATCGGCTGTTTGGGGAGCATCTGAAATCCTTCAGAGTGGCGCTGGGCTTTAAAGCCGATTCAGGGTGTGAAATACATACAGCGATCGCGTGTCAGACCTGATCAGACTGAGAGCAGGTGGCGTATATAGGGGGTGTGGTCACATGGGGCGTGGTCACAGGGGGCGTGACCCCAGAGTGCCCCTCCCCATCACTCACCGATGAAAAACATATCATTGGCTAATGATAAAGTTGGAATCGCTGTATAAATTATGGCCCCTCTTATGCTCCCCACCTGAAAAAAATGCTAAAATAGCCCCTGCTCACTGCTAACATTTGCTGCTTGCAGGGTGAAACTATGAAGATCAACTATGGTCTGGCCCGTTTCTCCCGACGCCCACGGCACTCACGAAGGCGTGCTCCGATGTGTAGTTTTCCGGAAGAGGGAAGTAGTGGTTGATCAGTTTGGACTTGTCCGTCTCTAACTCCTGGGCGTCCCACATGACCGAGTTGAGGTCGGCGAAGTTGTGGTTCATGTCGATTCCCTCGTAGCTATAGCGACCCAAGGCCCAGCTGGCCAGCTCCGAGCCCTGTGAGCACGGGGCAGAGTGGGGAATGATGCGCACCTGTCACTGTCAGCAACGTCAAACCTCATAGGAGGCAGAGTGCAGGATGGGCTTCAGGGTCTGTGGATGCTCACTGAACCTCGCTCTGCTCACCTGTGCAACTTGATTGATGTGATTTTAAAAAAAAACGAACTCTATTCACTCAACTGAGTACTGGGATAGAACAGAAACATAAATCATCGCTCCAGGATATGACAACCACCCCCTGTCGATCCAAACCGTGGTTTCACTTGGAACATTATGTAAGTTCCTTATGAGGTGAAAGTTTTGCTCAAACATTATAACTTATAATGCAATTTTTGCAACCACAGTACCCATTAAAATGCAAATCGGGTTGCTCTCCTGACATTTCCGTTGTAGGCACTTGCTCATTCCCATGGCCACTCCCACCTTTATGTGGCCACTCCCACACTATTAAACCACTCCCACCTTTATGTGGCCACTCCCACACTCCCATGGCCACTCCCATCTTTGTCTGGCCACTCCCACACTATTAAACCACTCCCACCTTTTTGCAACAACTCCCACATTCTCATTGCCACTCCCACCTTTATGTGGCCACTCCCACATTCCCATGGCCACTCCCATCTTTGTCTGGCCACTCCCACACTATTAAACCACTCCCACCTTTTTGCAACAACTCCCACATTCTCATTGCCACTCCCACCTTTATGTGGCCACTCCCACATTCCCATGGCCACTCCCATCTTT